TTTGGGGTGACCCGGGGGGGTTGGGGGGGGTCCAAGGGGTTTTGGGGGGATCCAGACAGATTTTGGGGGAATCCAGAGGGTTTTGGGGGGCTCACGTGGACGGGCATGTTGAAGCAGTCAGCCTTGAAGGCATCACCCACCTCCCCAAAGACAGAGGAGCCCAAGGGAGCCTGGGGGGCTCAGGGGAGTCTGGTGGGTTTTGGGGGCATGCAGAGGGGTTTGGGGAGATCCTGAAGGGTTTTAGGGGGGATCCAGGCAGATTTTGGGAGGGTCCAGAGGGGTTTGGGGGGCTCATGTGGATGGGCACATTGAAGCAGTCAGCCTCAAGGCATCGGCCATCTCCCCTAAGGCCAGGGAACTCAGGGGAGTCTGGGGGGCCTCAGGGAAGCCTGGGGGGTTTTGGGGGGAACCGTGGGNGGGGACACTGGGGGTCAGGGGGCTGGGGACACTGGGGGGGTCACTGGGGACACCAGGGAGTCAGGGGGCTTGGGGACATCAGGAGGGGACAGCTCCAGGTACTTGGGGCACCCTACAGGAAGCACCTCAGGGGGTGCCAGCCCCACAGATCAGGGGGTCCCTAAACCCACAGATCAGGGGGTCCCCAGCCCCACAAACAGGCCTGGATGGGATTTAGGAGCCCCCATCCCCTCAAATCAGACAGACCCAGAGCCCCGCATAGAACGGGACACCAAATAAAGGGGGGGGGGGGGGGGGGGGGGGGGGGGAAAGAACTGGATGGGATTTGGGAGCCCCCATCCCACAGATCAGACAGACCCAGAGCCCCCCATAGAACAGGACACCCATCACACAAGGGGGGTCTGGTCACAGCCCCACAGATCAGGGGGTCCCTAAACCTACAGATGGGGGTCCCAAGCCCCAAAAACAGAACTCTGGGGAGCCCACATCCCACAGATCAGACAGACCCAGAGCCCCCTCACAGCACAGGACACCAAACAAGGTGGGGGGTTCTGGTCACAGCCCCACAGATCAGGGGCTCCCTAAACCCACAGATCAGGGGGTCCCCATAACCCACAGATCAGGGGGTCCCCAGCCCCACAAACAGAACTGGATGGGATTTGGGAGCCCCCATCCCACAGTTCAGACAGACCCAGAGCCCTTGGGGATCTCGGGCAGGGGGGGCAGCAGGCAGAAGATGTGGGGGTCTCTAAACCCACAGATCAGGGGGTCCCCAGCCCCCAAAACCAGAACTGGATGGGATTTGGGAGCCCCCACCCCACAGTTCAGACACACCCAGAGCCCTCCCACAGCAGAGGACACCACAGCCAAGGGAAGGGTCCCAGCCCCACAGCTGGGATGTGACCCACACTGGGGGTGTCCCCATGTCCCCCTCACCGCCATGACGCATTTGGGGCAGCGCCAGATGCCCTTGGGGATCTCGGGCAGGGGGGGCAGCAGGCAGAAGATGTGGTAGTTGTCATCACAGCCGTCACACAGCAGCAGCTTGTCGTCCTCGTCGCCCCGCGAGCAGATCCGGCACACGTAGGAATCCACCTGCAAAGGGGGATTTCAGGGGGGGATTCGGGGGGGGTTTTTTGGGTTTTTTCCCCACCCCAAGGACAGCCCTACTCACGAACTGGCTGTTGCTGTGGCTGCGGCGCAGCCTCATGGTCATCTTGGTGCAGGGCTCGGGGCTGTGGCGCAGCTCGTCCCGCCCGTCCCGCGCCCCCGGCGACACCGGGGACCCCCGGGGCTCCCCCGGAGGCTCCTCCTTCACCACCACCGTGGGGGGGCACTCGGGGCCGTCCTTGTCTGTGGGGAGGGGGAAACGGGGGTTACTGGGAGGCTGGGGGGGGCTGGAGCATTGGGGGGTACTGGGGAATTGGGGGGTTACAAAACAACTGGGGGTTACTGGGAGGTCGGGGGGGTCCTGGGAGATTGGGGGGTAACAGAAAAACTGGGAGGCTATAGAATTATTGGGGGTTACTGGGAGATTGGGGGGTGCTGAACCATGGAGGGATACTGGGAGATTGAGGGGTTATAAAATTATTGGGGATTACTGGGAGATTGGGGGGTGCTGAACCATGGAGGGATACTGGGAGATTGAGGGGTTATAAAATTATTGGGGATTACTGGGAGATTGGGGGGTGCTGAACCATGGAGGGATACTGGGAGATTGAGGGGTTATAAAATTATTGGGGATTACTGGGAGATTGGGGGGTGCTGAACCATGAAGTGGTACTGGGAGGTTTGGGGGGTGCTGAATCATGCTACAGAATTATTGGGGGGTTACAGAATTACTGGGGGGCACTGGGAGACTGGGGGGTGCTGAAACATGAGTGGGGGTTATTAAACCATTAGTGGGTTACTGAGAGATTGAGGGGTGTTGAATATTCGGGGGGTTACAGAATCATTGGGGGGTTCTGGACCATTGGGGGGTGCTGAATCATGGGGAGTGTTACTGAGCAATTGGGGGTGCTACAACAATTGGGGGGTGCTGAACTATTGGGGGGTTATTGAACCTTTGGGGGGGTTCTCAAACAACTAGAAGGTGCTGAGCCATGGGAGGGCTACAGAACAATTGGGGGAGTTCTGAATTATTGGGAGATTATTGAACAACTGGGGAAAGAGTTCTGAAAATGAGAGGGAGCAAAAGAACTGGAGGAGAAGGGGTTCCCTAAAGAACTTGGGGAAAAGGGGTCCCTAAAGAACTGGAGGAGAAGGGGCTCCCTAAAGAACTGGGGAGATAAGGGTCCCTAAAGACTGTGAGGGAGCTGTCTGTTCTACAAGAGAGAAGTCTGTCCATAAATAACTGAGAAGAGAAAGATCCTAAAAAACTGGGAAGAAGACATCCCATAAAACCTGTGGGTGTGGAAGGGCATCCCAAAAAAAAAATGAGGAGAGGTACCCAGAAGCTCTGGGGGAGTGTGACCCAAAAGAGAGAGATGAGAGGAAAGAAAGAGGGTCCCTGAAGAATCCAAAATAATTTGGGAGACACCCCAAACAAACTGTGGGCAAAGAGGCTCCCACAAGGCATATGAAGGTGTGCCAGAAAAAATTTTAAAAATCCCAAAAAGACACAGAGGGTCCCAGAAAGATTTAAGGATCCCAACAACCCCTGCACCCCACAAGAGGGAGATGCCCAATACCTTTCTTCCTCAGGGTCTTATCCTTGGCCACCAGCCCCAACCCCAACATTTTGGGCCCGGCCCCGTAGATCTGCAGCTTCTTCAGCTCGGGGTTCTTCTCGATGTCCTCCTCCGTGGGCTCGGGCTGCGGGACAGCGGCGTCAGGGGGATTCTGGGGGGGATTTGGGGGTGCCAGGGGGGATTCTGGGGTGCCCACCTCCTGCTGCAGGCGCTTGGCACGCCGGCCGTAGCTGTTGAACTTGGAGGGCTGCACGGACTGGCGCAGGGGGATGCTGTGGGGTTTGTACTCCCGGTCCTTCTCCTCGCTCTCAAAGGGCCGCGCGTGACACTGCTGCAGGGACAGGGTGGGACCCTCAGCGTGGCCCGGGGGTCCTCCCCAAGCCCCCCCCAAAGCCCTGCACTCACCACCAGGTTGGCCCCAGACTGGTACATCTCGTAGGGGTAGATGATGCGCTCGTAGTGCGCCCGCAGCAGCGAGCCGATGTTCTTGCCCGACGGGTACGAGAGGCGCTGCGCCACCCGCGCCCAGCGGCGGTCCTTGCAGATGGCCTCGTAGCCACCCTCCTCCATCACCACCTGTGAGGGGACAATAAGGGCTCAGGGACACCCAGAGCCACCCAGGGCCACCCGCACCCAGCGGCGGTCCTTGCAGATGGCCTCGTAGCCACCCTCCTCCATCACCACCTGCCAGGGGACACTGAGCACTCAGGGACAACCCAGGGACACCCACGGGCACCCAGTGACACCCATGGTCATCCAGAGCCACCCAGGGCCACCCGCACCCAGCGGCGGTCCTTGCAGATGGCCTCGTAGCCACCCTCCTCCATCACCACCTGCGAGGGGACACTGAGCGCTCAGGGACACCCCAGGGACACCCACGGGCACCCAGTGACACCCATGGTCATCCAGAGCCACCCAGGGCCACCCGCACCCAGCGGCGGTCCTTGCAGATGGCCTCGTAGCCACCCTCCTCCATCACCACCTGCCAGGGGACACTGAGCACTCAGGGACAACCCAGGGACACCCACGGGCACCCAGTGACACCCATGGTCATCCAGAGCCACCCAGGGCCACCCGCGCCCAGCAGCGGTCCTTGCAGACAGCCTCGTAGCCACCCTCCTCCATCACCACCTGCCAGGGGACACTGAGCACTCAGGGACAACCCAGGGACACCCACGGGCACCCAAAAAAAAAACAATTACCCTTATAATTAGAAAGGTTCTCCCACGTAATTAATCTTCTAAATAGAGAAATGTTTCGCAAAAGAGCAAAATACTCCCCAAAAATACAATTAAGTTTCTCAATGGAAAAATTAAATTAAATTCCTAAGTGGGAAAATACCCGCACAGAGGGCAATTAACCCCCCTAAATAAGAATGTCTCCACGGGTGCAATTAACTCTCCCAATAAAAAAATAAAACCCCAGATGATAAATCACCCCCCTAGATCATGGAACACCTCAAAATTTGGGGGAATTAATCCCCAAAACAGGAAAATACTCCCCTTCAGAAGACAATCACCACTGGGGGGGCACCTTCCCCATCCTCACCCCCAAGTGTGACCCCCCAGGCAGGGCTGGGGGTCCCCAGCTGCCCCCACATTTTGCCCCCAACCCAGATCAGAAAACACCCAAAAATTTGGGGGGGGGCAAATTTGGGGCACAAAGCACAAATGTGGGGGACACTGAGAACACACAGCTCAAATTTGGGGCACACAGCTCAAATCTGGGGGGCAAACAGCCAAAAATTTGGGAGAATTAACCCCCCCAAAAATTAAAATATTCCCCCACCAGAAGACAATCACCACTGGGGGGAACTTTCCTCATCCTCTTTCGCCCCCCCCTCACCTTGCTGAGGCTGTAGAGGTCGAGGATGCGCCGCTCCACGTTGGGAATTTTGAGGGAGGAGCCCTGGATCTCCCAAAATTTGGCGATCTGGTCCAGGTAATTCAGCTTCACCCGGGTCTGCGCCTGCGGGGGGGGGGGAAATGGGGGGGCAAAGATGGGGGGGAGACCCGTGCACACCCCAAAACCAGCCCCAAACCCCCCCCACGGCACTCACCTCCAGCTCGTTGAGCCGCTGGATGCGCGGGGTGAACCTGAAGTTGTCGACCTCGACGGCAAAGGGGGGCTGCCAGTCCTGGGGGGGCAAGGGGGGGTCAGAGCCCCAGCCTGGGGGGGCAGCAGCCATGCCCCACCCCGGGGGGGCACAGACAGGGCAGCCCTGGGAGCGCCACGGGGGAAAAAGGGGAATAAACCCCAAATTTGGGCGGGGGGGAGCAGCAATTTCCACGCCCCCCAAAGTTCTGCACAGGCAGGGGGAACACACAGCTCAAATTTGGGGCACACTGTCCAAATTTGGGGGACAAATTTGGGGCACAAAGCTCAAATTTGGGGGGCACTGAGAACACACAGCTCAAATTTGGGGCACAAAGCTCAAATTTGGGGGACACCGAGAACACACAGCTCAAATTTGGGGAGGGGGGGGGGGTCAGCAGCCATGGCCCCCTCCCGAGGGGGCACAGACAGGGCAGCCCTGGGAGCTCCACGGGGAAAAAAGGGGAATAAACCCCAAATTTGGGCGGGGGGGAGCAGCAATTTCCACGCCCCCCAAAGTTCTGCACAGGCAGGGGGAACACACAGCTCAAATTTGGGGCACACTGTCCAAATCTGGGGGGCAAATTTGGGGCACAAAGCTCAAATTTGGGGGGCACTGAGAACACACAGCTCAAATTTGGGGCACAAAGCTCAAATTTGGGGGACACTGAGAACACACAGCTCAAATTTGGGGCACAAAGCTCAAATTTGGGGGGCAAATTTGGGGCACAAAGCTCAAATTTGGGGGGCACTGAGAACACACAGCTCAAATTTGGGGCACAAAGCTCAAATTTGGGGGACACTGAGAACACACAGCTCAAATTTGGGGCACACAGCCCAGATTTCAGGGGTACACAGCCCAAATTTGGGGGGCACAGAGAACATACAGCTCAAATTTGGGGAGGGGGGGAGGTCAGCAGCCATGGCCCCCACAGTCCTGCATGGGCAAGGAGAAATTTGGGGGGCACAGAGAACACACAGCCCAAATTTGGGGGACACAGAGAACACACAGACCACATTTGGGGGGCAAATTTGGGACACACAGCTCAAATTTGGGGGGCAAATTTGGGGCAAACAGCCCAAATTTTGGAGGCACACAACCCAAATTTTGGGGACAATTTGGGGCACACAGCCCAAATTTCTGGGGCACACAGCCCAAATTTCTGGGGCACACAGCTCAAATTTCGGGGGCACACAGCTCAAATTTGGAACACACAACCCAAATTTTGGGGGTGCAGAGCCCAAATTTGGGGACACACAGCCCAAATTTGAGGGCACAGAGAACACACAGTCCAAATTTTGGGGACAATTTGGGGCACACAGCCCAAATTTGAGGGCACAGAGAACACACAACCCGAATTTCAGGGGACACACAGCCCAAATTTGGGGGCACACAACCCAAATTTTGGGGGTAATTTGGGACACACAGCCGAAATTTTGGGGGCACACAGCCCAAATTTGGGGGCACACAACCCAAATTTCAGGGGGCACACAGCCCAAATTTGGGGGTACACAACCGAAATTTTGGGGGTAATTTGGCACACACAGCCAAAATTTTGGGGCACACAGCCCAAATTTGGGGGCACAGAGAACACACAGCCCAAATTTTGGGGACAATTTTGGGACACACAGCTCAAATTTCAGGGGCACACAACCCAAATTTTGGGGACAATTTGGGACACACAGCTCAAATTTCAGGGGCACACAACCCTAATTTGGGGGCACACAGCCCAAATTTGGGGGGCACAGAGAACACACAGCCCAAATTTGGGGGGACAGAGAACATACAGCCCAAATTTGGGGGGAGGGGGGGCACAGAGAACACACAGCCCAAATTTCGGGGGCAATTTGGGGGCACACAGCCCAAATTTGGGGGGCAGGGGGGCTCTTCACCCACAGGAACATCAGCCCTGCTGAAGCCCTGGAGGAAAACCGGGGTGACCCCCCCCCAAACTCGAGGCTCTCCCCGTGCCCCCC